TATAACTCTGCTGGTGTAATTCTTTTTCCTGCACACAAAAATTTGAAAAAATATTTCTGAGAATTGCCTTCCAGGGCGCGCCGCTAAATTGTTTATTCAATTGTTATTTTATTTACTGCAGAGATATTAGAAGTTGCTTAGGGTGTCAGGAAAAGTCAAGTGTGCAATACAGAAAATTGAGCCCGTCGAGTGTAAGTGTGTACAAACTACCTGTCATATAGAGTTTCATATTGACCAAAACGTTTAAAAATGTACAGCTTAAGCTTTTGTAAACCACACCGCTCTAGATAAGTCCTTTAAGTTTATACTTTCAAATCACTCCCTTTAGGCCGCCTAAATTCAGAATATTTTATTTTACGCATTCGAGTATTTACACTATGATTACTTTATTGACTCTTCAAGATATCTGATATTGTTATATATAGTAAACAAATAAACTAGTCATAAAATCCAACTGTGTGGTGGTCGAGTAACAGCTGCTATCCACATTCGCACATTAAAATGAATGACGGACTCAAGTGAGGCCTCAAGAGATTAGCATTGGGGGTAGGTTATTGCTGCAACGCCATCATTAGAATCACTTCCACATTAAGAGTGTTTATATGGTGTCGCGAAGTTCACGCGTGCGCAAAGTTTTCTGGCGACAAAGCGAAAATAAACAAGTGCAAGTTAAATCTTTTTTCATTTGCTTTTTACGCATTGTTTAAACTTAGGTGACGCTAAAATTAATTTTTGTTCGCTGTGACTTGTAGGTATGTATATGTGTAAAATGATCTTCTCGAAATCAAACATAGCTTAAAAGTTTAGAGCGGAAAGAGCATAAACGTGGTACTTTTTGTAATTCCATTACGCGACGCCAACATATCTTGTAAATATTTACAAATGTTAATGTGAAACCATTTTTAAAAATAGTTGCGTATTTATAAATGTACTGACTTTATTTATTACTACATATGTACATATGTATGTATTTACACCAGTATAGCAACAAATACTCTTGCTTCCCAGCTTACTGATTTTATGATTTTAATGTTTTGCAGAAACCGTTGCCAAGACAGGCATGATCTTACTATGCGGCGAAATTACATCGCAAGCTGTGATTGATTATCAAAAGGTTGTGCGCGACACAATCAAACACATTGGCTACGACGACTCATCGAAAGGTGAGTTAATAGTTTCTAAATTTTGCAAGGGTTGAAACGAAATTTTCTTGCCATATTAAAAATGCCAAAAAAA